AGTGATTATTTGATGAATGTAATCTAAAAGTTAGTTTTGCATTTTTATTTAATGATTTTTTTAATTAAATTCAAAAAAGAATTTGAATTTAATTAAAAAATACCTGGTACAGTAGTTTGGTATTTGGTGAAACATCAATTGTGCCATCGCTAAAAATTGTTAGTCAAATTATTCAGAAGTTTGACAGAAATTTTAAGTACTAGCAGTGTGCTATAAATATAAAATTGATACATAGTAAAAGTCAACACTTTTCATTAATAAATTTGATTGCAATCATAAACTGACAATAGCAAAAACTACTGCTTGCATGAAATTGGACTCTGTTAGATTGAAATACTTATGTATGACTTCGTGAGTAAAACTATTTATGTTAAATTAACATGTAATTATGGAAAGACAAATTTTACAGAAAGTATAAGAATGAACTTTTTTGTCATTATGATTATTCGATCGACAGATGCTCCTGGCATCTTGGGTATAAAAACACCATTTCCATCACACATTAATCGTGGAAGACCTATGAAATCATCCTTTGACAAATAATTTAAGCAAAATTTAATTATGGTTGTTATCTCTCTTCCATAAACAGTGTATGATATAATGTTATAGCAAATACATACCAAAATTACTGAAAGTAAAATTCTTCGATTTAGTTATAAAAATCTTTTCAAATTTCTGTATGCAGTATTCTGCAATATTTAAGATCTGATACTGCTGATAACGTTGAAGTTGCCAGTCATTATTTTTTACAACAATACACATCTGTGGTGCCCAAAATTTCTGAATGATCAGGAAATAAATTAATACATTATTCTACTGATTAATAATGATTTAAAAGTGAAAATGACAAACTCACTACTGTTTTAATTATTTCTTTCAATTTCTCGAAAGTGTTCAGCATATCGAAACTGGAAAAATAAATAAATATTTCATAAATATTTTATACTAATTTTCACCTCTAACATGGCATCATTTTGGTAGCAGTTTTCATAAACAGGTTCGACATTTTTTGGAAATTTATTACTCGTCTCATTCAACCGATGTATGTATTGTTGCAAAACATTTAGTTGCAGTGGTGATTCAATGCTGTTGTCATTAAAGTGGAGTAATTGGAATCGCTGCATCAATATATCTGTTGCCTTTTTTTTAAACATTGTGCACGTGCTATAGCAAATAGAACTGATTACGTCAAATAAAAAATTCTTTGCATTTCAATGTGGTTTAAACAGATTGGAATACAAATGCTAGGATAGTAATGGAATTGATACCATGTCACTATTAAAAAAAATCATTATCGTCAACTTAAATTCAAAATTATAATAATCAACGCAGAGAGGGACAGATAAAAACACTATACACTCAATGTAATTTTTTTTTAGTCTCAAAAACTATACAGCTCTATTACTCTTCTACAATTCACAAGATAACAAAATTACTGAAATATAAAGTAGCGAAATTAATTACTGGACCAATGAAAACCATATTTATAGAATAAAATAACACCTTCGTGCGGATATCAAATCTGTATTAGAGAATGTTTTAAAGCACTCCAAGATTCTTTCACTTACGGGCATTGATATTTGCATTAAATGGTCTAATGGTATAATCGTAGCATCAAATGTTTGGTTTCCTGAAATTACTTAGTTTTGTACTCTAAAACATCACCAAATACTTAAAGCTTTCCATTACATAATAGTGTTACAGCATTGCTTACTTTTCTTACTTTTAACTAATATATTGCATCAATAAATTAATCACTTCTTAATTAGAATCTGTTCTCAAACTATTTCTTTCATATTTTATAATAAATCTAGTTGATTAAAAATGAATTTCTAATTTGATGTTCAATCTTGAGCACACTAAGTGAGCATAAATTTGTCTACAATATCCTAAGAATGAAGTTTGATTAATCATTGAAATACCAGATGTAGTTAAGTTGATTGGCTTGCCAGTAATTGCCCAAAAACTGAGTCTACTGAGTAATAAGAAAAATACATGATTTTTCATATTCTACAAATATTCTGCAAGTTATATTCTGCAAATATTCTGCAAGTTAAATTCCATCACTTTCGTAAATTTTAATCACTTTACAATTTCTGTTCATGTTTTATTTACATAAATATCAGTTATATTGCAGTTGCTTTTGAATAAAAAATAAAAGCTTTAGTAAATAGTGCTGCAGAACTTTATTAAAATGTTTTTTTACTGTAAGTTCTGATTTTTCCAAAATAAAGAATAAGTTCTGATTTTTCCAAAATGATTATGTGATAGAAAAATGAAAATTCTAGGCATATAAACATCAAATATAATCATCACAAATGCAGGTGCAAGTGCTGGATAAATAGTTGTGATCAAAATATAGACACTCTTTAGCTCCATAGTTTCAGTTTTTTCAAAACTTAGCCAAGATATCGACTTTTGAAATCATGTTTAGCATCTTGGCATACAAAAGTTTAAATGATGCAACGAACATATCAAATTAGTCCATTTATATTTTTGCAAATGGTTAAAACGAAAAAACTCATGAAAAGTCTGTACAATAACATAGCCCATCAAAAAGTTGTTGGATGATAACAGTTAATAAGTAGCCATGATGGCTTCAAAAGCAAAAAGAAGAGTGATGTAATCAAAATTAAAGCTCCTCATTTTATTTATAATTTGGTCTCATGTTTTAATCCTATTTCTTCGGCTTATGTGATTACTATGAATATTAGTATAATAAAACATGCGAATCAAATGACAGACTCATTTTTTTACGTAATACTCAGTCTAAAGTAAAACATATTGATGTTTTTTAGTTTTGATTTTTGCAAATAGCTGATATATTTGGGATGCAAATAACTGCAAATTAATTAAATGGATTCTTAGCAAAGTTATCGTTCATACGCCAGCACTCATCATCATAGAAGCATCACAATGTGCGTAAATTTGAAATTTCCATTATTTTTTTGTCAGTCAGTAAGAAATCACAGTCTGCTTAATGATCAGAATTGCTTGATTTAGTCGATTCTAATTCATTTTTTAGCTTGTGAGTATTCTGAGATTAAAATAATCAAGCAGACATCATAATTTGAGCATTTCAACTTAGTTCCATATTCATTTAATTTATCACTAGCATCATTTGTTCATCTTTTTCAATTTTTACATTTTAAGACTTTCCAGTCAAGTTTAATAAAGTTAAATTCTATTGTTTGGTATTTTTATCAAAATATAGAACTGCTGGTATCTACGATACAAAAGTATAAGCTCCTTTTATATTTATTAAAAACAAAATAGTAGGCAAATCTATAAAATCAGATTAGAAATCAGAATAGATACGTCGAAAAAATAGACCATCACGACGCAGTTACTGTAATCATTTTATTTCAAACTTGCTTGGTCCCTGAAAAGTATAAATAAACTGAAGATAAACTATGGATAGTCAAACTCACTTCATGAAAAGCAAATTAATAGTGCTGATTTAATAGAAAAGAAAAATGATATTTTTTGGAAATCTTTGAAATGCATAAAGCAACAGTACTCTTTAGGACTGCTTGGACTTTTTCCCTCAATTCTAATTTCCTTTTGTTCAGCAACTTCTGGCCCTTTTGGTTCTTCCTCTGTCTTCCAGACCAGATGTTCCACGCTATTTGCTTTTTGCAGTGGTGCACTACGGTCGATTACCATCAACGAATCTTGAGCTTTTGGTTCAAGAAACACTGATTTCTTGGCAGATGTATCATGCGTTACCAGCGATGAATCATAAGCATCTGCAATATACATTTAATAACATTAAAGTGTTGAATCAATACAATTATTTCTAAAATTAACTCAGTATTGAAGTAAGATTACTTTGAACAATTAATTAATTATAGAAAACCTTTCATGTGTCAGATGCATGACCTGTAAACTTTCTAATTCGTAATGGAAAGAATTCATGGAAAATGTGTTAGATGAATATGATTTGAATGAAAAGTTTGACTCCAGAAAGTTGGGCAGTGCTAACCAGGATCAGGATATGGTGCTTTATCATCAACTGACACGAATGAATCTTTCGCAGTAAGTTGTGAAGCACTTGATCGAGACAGTGAGGTTCCGGCGACAGTAGAAATACTAAAGTCTGAAGCCTTTCCATTCTCTTTAGACTGCAACTTTATTCTCAAATAAAATGTTAAAGGCAATATGTTCAATGTAAGTCCTTGAAGCTTTCCAATAATATTTGCAATATAAACTATTAGCGTCTCACCAGAATTTAATATTTAAGCGATTTTCTGAATTTCTCGTCTAATATGTTTCTAATCATGATAATTATTTTAAAAAAATTAATTTCTTGTGATAAATAAGCTTATATTACTACTTTTCAAAAAAATACCTTTTTGATTTCGTTGGGCTTTTTTTCCGTTTTGTCTACGTCAGTGATGATTTCCGTTAAGGGTGAATTTTTTAATGACATTTGAATTTTCATTTTTCTGCTTGGTAATGATGATGTTGGCCTTTTTCTGCAGCACATAAATTATAAGTAATGGTTTCAAATCAAGTACGTGAAATCGATACATGACGGATTTTTCAAAAACTAGTAACAAAATGAAACTTTTTAGTCTTCTTTACAGGTTCTTCCTTTTTCTTGGTACAAACAACAATTTTGGGTATTGAGCTATCGAAAGCAGTTGTCTGCAAGTCATTCATGATATGCTTATTTTAACAATTATAGATTTGCTTAGAACGCAACTTTGATTTTTTATTTAAACACTGCAATTTTTCACATAAATAAACAGTTCGCTTATTTATTTATAGTTATATTTCCAAACGTTATAGATTCATCATATCCTCATTTGTGGTAATGCAGATCAAGAAATATGCATCATGAACCATTGACTATTTGGCAATAAACTTTTTATAACATTTGAAACTGATGAAGAAGTTCAAAGATCCTTGAAGGCTGTAAGGGCTAAACGTGAATCTACCAAAGTTATTCACTAATACCGAGGTATCCGCTGATAAAGCAGTGATCTTATGAGGAGATCAAGGGTAGAAAATACTATTATACTAGAGCGCTCAAACTAGAAACTCTGCTCCGCTCCGATTTTGACCGAGATTGTGGAAAATGAAAACATAGAGGTGAGAGTTGATACACTAGTGAGAAAAGGGATCAAAATAATGAGAATCGACTAATTATTCTGCTCACGATAAGATGTAACATAAATTAATGATGATATAGGTTGTCATTAAGGCGTTGACAGCAGTCTAAACCGAGGAAAAAAGTAAGTACAACCTACTAGCTAATAAACTCGGGACAGAGATAAAATTCAGAATAAAAATGATTCCGTAAGTGATCACGTGGGATGGAATAGTAATAAACTTTCTTAAATGCCACGCCAGAGAAATCGGATCTAGTTGAGGCATATATGTAATTGATAATATCCAAAAAGATGTTTGGAATCACCTCCTTCGATTGCCATCGTGAACTCAGCCAGGATCAAGCAAAATAAACGAGCGCCAAGACTGAGCGCTCGGAGAGTAAGATGAAAGTGCCAGAACACGATATGGCGTCATTACCAATGATGCAAAAATAAAACTAAACCCGTTTCATTACAATAGAAATAGCGATACTGATGATGCTATTGTTATTTGTGTTATTATAAGTATATATACGAATGAATTTTTTCAACTTAAACTAACCTTATTAGCTTTCCGCCGCGTTATCTGAATTTGATAAATTAATTTTATTATTTGCAAAACACCAAATACAGCAACGGTTATAATTAAAAATATTAACGTCGTACGTAACGACATGTTTGCTGAATTCAACTCCCAAATTTCATCATCGCTTAATTCATCACCGTCTAATGGAATATTTTCAATAGGAGGCATCTGTTTTTGTCTAAAATTGTGTTTTTTTTTGTTTCATCATGGTGTGTGGTGTTATCAAAAGCTGATTTTGTAGAGTGTGCGGATAGAAAAGTTACTGAATACACCAAGTAATGAAAGAAGCAACTGCCAGAAATTTGGCTAAAATCTAACATTTTGAGCACGCAACCTATCAATGAAGAACCAGAAACTGACAATGAACTGAGGAATGCTAGAAAATGCTACTAAAATAGTATGATATTGCAATTGTTATACAGTGGATGTAACATAGCTCAAAATTAATATAATTATATATAGTCAATATGCAGCAGTTTTGCAGAGGATTCCCATACTAATTTTATGAAAATTAGGTATAGTTAACTCATTTTTATTCTGCATAATTGTTTGATTAAATTGCAATTGCTGTCATAAATGTAATTTTCCTATCATTTACATGTTAGAGGAAAAAGAATCATAATTAGAGATTTTTTCCATCTAAATGAAAAAAATGCGTTATTAAATTTGTTAAATAATCATCTTTGTCTCAGGATGGATAAAATGTAAACTTCTGAAATAAATCTGAAAGCATTTATTTTGAATTAAAAGCATCTACTTGTACTAAAATTTTGATGATATTCACCATTAAAAGTAACATTGTGTAATAATTGAATTATTCATTTGCACTTTACATTATTCATTTGCACTTTTTATTTAAAATTCATTTGCACTTTTTATTTAAAATCCATTTCTCAAGTAATATTCTTTCCACTCTTCATTATCACAATTAGTGCCAAAGTTTGATTCTAAAATGAGTACTTAAAAAGACTTGTGATTTGCGATAAAACTGCTTTCAAATATCATGTTTTAAAATTCTGATCATTCAAAGAACTGTTTTTCTACAAACGAGTAACAGAAATCAGTGTTATACGTAGTATTTTAGAATGGTTCGTAATTGATCAAATTATAAACATATTGCATACCAAAAAAATTTTTTGAGATATTTCAGCTCAAAGTAATGTGACATATGTAAGACTGACAAAATTTGTAAGTTGTATGCAATACTGTTAATTCAATTTTCAATTGGCTGCAATGCCAATAATACCACATGCGAGACGCGCACCAGCATTACCTGTTTTAATGCTCTCTAGTTTTCGAGCACCCATCCCCTTGCCAAGATCGTCCTGATTAGCGTGTACTACAACTGCGCGTCCAATTATTGAATATGAACCTGACAACTGCAAAACCATAAATTGTTGCTGAGCTGTGTTAAAAGTAAACAAAAATGCTTGCGAAAAACGTTTCAGCACTGTTTTATAAAGACTTCAATGTTCTTCATTATGTCATGACTGTTGCATTAAATACATACCTTTAGCAATCTATCAACAATATTGATTTTTGCAATGCTATCACCCCCAGCTCTAATGTTTCCAAGATCACCAAGATGTCTTTTTTTATCCTGAATATCATTTTAAGGCCAGGATTTTTAAATAAGCAAAAATTATTCCGAAAATGCAACCACTAGTGATATCACCAATCACTAGTGAAAATCATTTTTTATTAATGTTATCAGTTTATTATCATTCGTTGGCATTCATCGGTGCTAGTTTAAAGTGTTCAAATTTTCAAAGATGAAAATAATTTTAAAAACTTTAAAAACCTCAAAACGAATGGCAAAAACAAGTTTTGCTGAATTGTTGTGACAAATTTTTGTTTTGATTAAAATTTTTTACTCGGAGTGTTCGTTTTTACTTCAGTACTTATTGACTGAAACTAAAGTTAATTATTTCACACTTTTTTTTCCTGAAACCACTTTAATCTTCTAGAAAACCATCACTATTTATGTACATTACATATATTATTTTGAATGACGGAAAGAAAGAGTAAAGTTTACTGTAGGACCACCATGTGGGACAGCAAATGGATTAAAATGTGCACCGGTCGAAGTGCAACCATTTGTGATATTACCAAATTCATGAATATGAAAACCATGCAAACCAGTTGATAAACCACTAATTTCACCCGTGACGATCAATGGAGCATGCATGCCATTCTGAAATAAACACTCAGATTCTTAAGTCGCAAAATTACGGAACCATTGAGTGATATGCAGATGTTCTTGTCATTTAATTAAAACTTTGAATGAGGAATAAAAATTATGACTGCTATTGATAACGAAGCAAATTATATTAAATTATTTTGAATAATTGTAATATATATTTTCAGTTAATTCAGCGAGCGATTTTTATTTATGCAAAAATTTAAGTCACATTCAAAAGCAGGTTTTTTTAAAGCATGAGCAGATGTAATTTTTAGCATAAAAAATAAATCTCGTACTTTTGAATGAAATATCTTATACATGAACTTAAATTTATTAACAATCACAATATGACTGAACACGTGATAAATGTTAAAATTTGTGAATAAATCAATCTTAAATGAAGCAATCATCATAAAATTTAATGAATTCAAGAATTTGTTACATCACTATCCCTAAAAATATAAAATATTGGATGACCTTACTTGCTCAAAAAAAACGATTCCACTAACATTATTTCCCGCCAATACAGCTACTGCATTTTTGATTGCCATAACACCGTTCCTTGTTTGGTAATATCTCTTAAATTTACAAAATATTTCATCCAGAACAGTTGATTGAGTGATAGAAAATAAAAGTCACATGCACTTTTGATCGGTTGGTACAGATAATCAGTATTTAATAAAATAAAATTTACATAAATGGAAGACTATGAATATTTTAACAACGTTTGTTATTAAATATATGTAATAAACTCGGCGAAATTTTTTAAATCAGAGATTTCCAAAACTGGGCTTAGGTAAAAACTTACATTTGAAAATATCGAAGTAGAAATAATTCGAGGAATGAGAACATGCATGATATGAATAGATAATAATGAATAAAAGAATAAAGTCATTTTCTGAAAATTTATTTTGTGCAATAAATCTTAGTGATTCTATTTTATTAAATCATTTATAAATACCTTATATAATTATTCCAAAACTACTGTAATCAGTATCACAGAAAATTTGTCGTACATGATTGGAACTGCATTTTCAAGTACTATAAACTGTTATATATTTTAGAGCGCTTAAATAGCTATAAAACTGAAGTTTAACATGAACAGGTGAATGGAAATGATTGGTAAAAGGATGAATGTGTGTTAGATTAAGAAGGGCGTGAAAATGGAACGAACACTGATGATGTTTTGTAAAATGCACAATAAAAATGGATGAACCACAACGTTTACTTTCCCTAAAAAATATTTAAGTAAATAAAATAGATGTTTTTATCTTATTTGAATAAGTTTTTTTGTTGCATTATTCTTTTCGCGACTTCTATTGTTTAGCTGTAATAGTTAATCGAATGAAAAAAGCATTAATGTCATTTCAGTGCATCAGATCAAAAATTTTATTCATTTTCATAAGTAAAAGACTTTTGATGACCACTCTGTCAATAGTTCCTGGTACCATTTGTCTTTTTTAATTCTAACACCTCATTTTTGCAACTTATTTATATACATACATCTTAGATACTACCGTCTATTTTATCTAAAGAACGCTGACCTAACGAATTATTCAGCAAAAAATCAATAACATTTTTCATTACAATCATTTCTTACTTTCAGAAGTTACAAAAGTTATAAATGTAGCAATTGCAATTCGTTAAATTTCAAAATTGTGCTTAATTTTTTTAATAGTTTGTAAAGACTTCTAATCTAAATTTTTGGGATATTATGGTGAGGTGTTGAAACTGTCTAACAGTACTTAATTTTGTTGCAGTTGTTTTAAAGTGCATAAATTCAATCATAAAGTCTGATTCCGGATCTTTTTCTGATAATAAAAAGAACTTGCGCATTTAATAAAATTATGCTCTAGAAAATAATAGACTAATTATTCGGCGTTTATAATACATACATACAACTTAGACGGCGTTTATAAATCGTGGTTAGAAAATGTACAAAACACATGTTTTTGACACTGAAAACTTTCGGTTTTTATACAAATTGAATGAGTAAATAAAAGGTTCAATTTCAGCAAAATTGACCTTTCTTGTTTACTCATTCAACTTGAACAAAAAATTTACCCTATTTGTTCATTTGAAATTTTTATTTTTAACTCCCTCTCAGTGCAATAGTTGTTCTTAATCATTGCAAATTAAAAAAATATTCTGTCAACTTGAAAAATATGGGCAGAGTTTTCCAAGTACTATTTTAAGAATTATCCTAGTAAAATTTAGTTATCTCATATTCCCACTTTCACCTTATTTACAAGTCACAATGCTATCAGCTTTAATCTGATTAAAGTTCATATACATCTATATTTTAAATCTTACACATATTTTAATATTCCTCACTGATCCAAAAAATTTTGGTTTATAAAAGATAGTGCTATTGATATTTACCGAGTTTGTAGAGCATTAGAGTACGCTTAAGATATATCTGAAATAATATTCGACTTATGTAAATTTTATATAAGTTTGAAAAAGAACAAATTTAAATTTGGACATAATTTGGACTAGGATTTTGAACAATTGTTTGCTAAAAATCATGTTTCTTATGATTTGATATGTAATATCAAATATGATTTTTTATTAATAGAAAATTAAAATTTTACTTCAAATTTTTTTAGTTTAAAGTTTTGATCAAAATATTAGGAAGCGGTTTAGAAATTTGGTTAGACCAATACATAGCTTCAATCAAACGATATAATTTGATTAGTACTTTTTCAGAAATCGAATATTCAAAATTTCTTTGCATGAAATGCATCTATATGCCAAGTTATTACACATTTTTCATTCAAAACGATCACTCTGATTTACACGAACGTTGTTAAAATACATCGTTCATTCATAAAACTTATGCAACTGATTAGTGATATTCCACTGGATGGAAATGTGAGTAATGCTTTCATTTATGGTTTAACCATAATTTTCGTTGAGTAATCTTGGCATAATTTTCACTTTTCTAAATTTATGTGATTTTTTTACTGCACTTTACACTAAATTCTGAACAACGTTTGCTCCTCTCGCTGAATTAAGTCACATTTCATATTCTAACACTTTTATTTTTATTTTGATGTGGTATGCGCTTTAATCAATTTTCAATAGCTGTATAATGAAATGCTAAAAGCATGTTTAACTGAAGTTAAAAAATAACCATTAATCGGTTTGATTTTTAAGGAACAGCATTTGATTGACTTTATTCATCAAATAACAAATGCATTCTAGAAATATCAGTCATTTCATATAGATTCTTCTAATTAACTTCACTGAATAAAATTAAAAAAAAATACATATATGATTGAATTCATCAAAACTTTTCAATTTAACCAACTATCAAAAAAATAAAATAATCATTAGACAAGTTCAAGAGCAATATCAGATCATCGTAAAAGCATCAATTTTTGAAGATTTAATGCGATTGAAAAATAAGTAGAATACCATATTCTATGAATAATTATTGAGTGCATAATCCATAATTTTGAGAATATGTTCCGAGTAAGATTGAAATCAATTTTAAAAAGATAGTGTTTAGTGCGATAACTTTACTTAGGTTGTCTTGTTCCTAAAACATATCAGAAACTATTTTTAGCAAAGCAAATACAGCATCGTTTCAAGAACTGAGGCTGAACGAAGAAAACTGGAATTGTTTTGTTTGTGATTTTACTTTACAATCACTATTGTTAGCTACCAACATTATTTGAAAATGAAGGAAAACTTGAAACTTTTTTCGTTAGAGCGAAATTTGAAAATAAGATATGAAATTGATAGTGTCTACTAATAAGTTTTGCAAAAGGAAGACTGAAGCTACCACACTCAACATGACTGAATACAAAAGTAAAATAACTTTTGAGTAAAAACTAATATTTTGTCAGCACATAAATAAATTTCTACTACAAAGACAAAATACGTACCTTATTAATACATACCTTGAAATACATACTTTATTAACATACCAAAGTTTCAGCTAAAATTTTTTAATCATACTGTTTTAAGTGCTTATATCATGCGCAAACTATTATTGATTGAATGCAAACGAATGCAAGATTAAAATTACAAGGTCAGTTTACAGGACTCATTTGTTCAGTATTTTTTTCTACAATTATACACAATTGAGCAAGAAAGCTATTTTGAATGAAATTGATGAAATCTCACTTAATCTGTTCCAAAGTTCAGTAGAAGTGAAAGTAAATCACATATACAGTCTCAAATAAGTAATACGAACTTTTTAATACTAGATTTATTTAAAAATAATAGATATCCTGTCAGGGGCCACAAGTTATATTTTTTTGATCATTATTATAAGTATAAACCTGTGTCAGTATTTTTGGCGTATCAATTCAAGCGATTATATAAAAATTTTTACGTATATCGATCAAAAAGAACGTTCTCTCACATGGTCAAATGCTCATCTTTTCAAGAATTTTAATCATTTAATGAGTATAAAATATATCACTTCAGGTTTCATTGTTAAGGAAAATTGGTTGATTTATGCAGCTTTAAAAACAAACAACATTTAATGACAGTCATCAAATTAAGTAATAGAATTGATATCACCTTCAGAGGCTTCAAATACTAATTTTCTTAGCGCAAATTTTTTCACACTGTTGACATATTTGAAACAATGCAAATTTTTTTTGTCTTTTTTTCATGCAATAATTTAATTGTGCTTTGTGCTCAGTTAACACCACTAGGAAATTTACTTGTTCTATGGTTCGTAATCAAGATTTGACATCTAATGCAGCTCGTTTTGCTTTTCCTACGCAATTAAAGAAGCTTTAAGAAGTGAGTTTCTGTTTGTTTGCTTCATATATTAACTTCAAAGTAAAAAGCTTGATAATGTTTGTCAATCGGCTGCATGTCTAGGTTGTGCTACAAAGATGGGTGACACAAAAAGGTTTCTGATGTCAACTTACTACTTCGGAATATTTGCCCAACGACAGTAAAAAGCTACTAGAAGAGGATTACTGCAAGAAAAAGTAGGCAGGAAGTAAGATAAACGACAAGGTGCCACCTCCCGAAATAAAAAAACTAGACAATCTGCGCCCCACTGATCTGCTGAGCATCGCCACCTTCTTTGACTTCTTCAGGCAAATTGCTGTATATAAACTTGAAAATCCAAGTATTTCCACTCACAGCAAAAAGTATCTTTGCAAGCTCTTACGAATTTGTCAACTACTGTGAAAAAGAACGCTAGAAGATCTCACTACAAGCAACAAGTTTTCGACCATGGTCAAGTTTGCTTCATACTTCGCTTTGTTGCTTATATCCTTGCTCATTCAACTGCAACTTACGCAATCAACCGAGGTAAGCTTATTCTTAAGTTTTAACTAATTCTTGAAAGCTAATAAATTACTTCGGAAACAAAAAGTCAAAAAATAGCAATTCACGCATTATGCATGAAACAGTAAAGGCAGTAGACTGCAAAATTTTTCATACATTTGATGGCAGGAAAGTTAGCTTCACAGTAAATTAATTATGAAAGTTACAGCTGTTTTTCCATTATGGCAAACAGTCTTGAATTGCCAAATAATATTTAAAAAACCAACTGGAGTTATTACCGTGCAGATCTTGAAAAATAATGGTAAATTCAACACAAATCCATAAAAACAGCTATGAATTTGGATTGTGCTAAAATTCATTCCGAAACATTTACAAATAATAATGTTTGCATGCAGAAAAAGGTAGCGATTAAGCAATTTGTAGTTTCCTCATTCAGACTGAAAAATTTTCTTTATGATAAATTTTTGAATGGAACACTAAACAGTAACTTTATATATCATTTTCTTCTGTCTTATTCACTACTATTACAAAATTTAACTTTTATTTCAAATAATTATCAACAGATGACATCAGAATGAATTTTTTTTGAAACTTTGATTGTAGTTTAAGGATAGGATGCATGTCGAGCAAACAGTAAATAGTATTTTCGGATAGGTTACTTCACATCCCTACTCTGTGTTAAGGACTCTTTAACTCTTGAGTCGAGACGAACTCAATTATTAAAAATTCACAATTGCATTAAGATAAACTCTTTTATGCTACTTAATAAAGTGAAAATTGGATGTAGAAATCCTTTCAAATGATGCAATTTTGAATTAGGTTGCAAAGAAGTTGCAAGAAACATAGAAAAGCAAAACTTAATCAGTTCTGACTACAGCTTTAACTTTAATTTATTGATTCTAGAAGTTATAATTTCAAGAAAAAAGATCTATGATTATTTATGCTCTCTCTTTATGTAGTTTGTATGGCCATAGTATGACAAGCATCGATACTTTTGTAAAATGTTATCACAAAATCAGGATTATGATGCCATAAAAGTGCGTGATACTTGAAGTTTTGTATTACATTATATTTCTTAACGTCGCAACGTGATTTGAAACTCTAAACTTGAACTACATTTATATCCATGCCAATCTAATTTCTGCAAAATTTGAACATAGAAATCTTTTCAAATGATTTCATTAAAAGTATTATTTCATATTGCTTACATTTATGCTTATCGAGCAAAGTTCTGTATATCGGTAATTTAATTACATCTAATTTTTTTCTTGAGAAACATTGCGAAAATAATCATGGTGAATGCTAGAAACTGATTCAATCACAATAAGTCATTTGGCATATGGAAAAAAATATTGACTGATGTGCTGATTTGTTAGTGTGAAGACTTCAAGTTTATTATAGTCACTAAAAAGAAACAATATATGCGAGAAAATGATTCACAGGTATTGTACAGGTAGTTACTTTCCTGTCGACTTTCACTTGAATAAAAAAGCGATTTCAGTTGTATATTTAGTCTGAAATACTGACAGTTAAGTTTTATTTGTTGAAGTATGCATAAAAAGTCCAAAGAATTGTTTGAAAGAGTAGGAAGCAATAAAAGTAAGCGGGCAATGTTGAAAAGTGGAAAGACAACAAGAGCTACTAGCTGAAATCCAGTTTTTTCATTCTTTCTCTCTCAGTCAAATTCCTCATCTTTCTTAAGCACATAAATGACGCCTGGTACTCTTGCTGAAAATCAATATTTAATGAACTATCCATCCTGAGTGAATATCAAAGAGCAGTTAAATGATGCTTCATCAATCATGAACTTTGGTTTCATTTTAAGTTTATCAACCTCCTAATTTACTAATACATCAATCATTCTGTTCACTCACTGGATAATCAATTTCTGCAGTTTCACTTATCTTTACCCCTGCTCCTCCTCTCCATAGACACATACACACATACACCCACACACATACACACACACTCACAATACACAAATTCTCACAATACACACATTCTCACAATACATATACTCACTAAATATGACATGTAGTGAAATTTATGAACTTGAAAGTGAACATAAGTATGCATATTGTACATAAACATACAAACGCAGATAAGCTTGTCTTTTTCTAAAATTATTTACAAACAGAAAATTTTTCTCTTTGTTCCTAGTTCAACTTTTCCCTCCTTATGGTCTGAAAATAAGATAAAATTAAATATCTGTGTACTGACTCACTCTCGAAAACAGTTTTCAAAACTAACTTTTTTATATTCGTTATATTTGGAAAATAAATATGACTTTGCTTGATGAAATAACTTAAATACGAAAAAACTGTCAAAATACATTTCTTGTTTTGTTTGAAGAAAAGATTGAGATTGAAGATTTGAGAAAAAGTGGGAAATATGACTTATGATAAAATGATATTACGGAAATAGTACGACTAAATTATTAAAATATTCTTGAAATTGAAATGAAGCATGCGGGTAAAGTAAAACAAATTTTGAATATTATTTGGTCATTTTACATTATTGGATGAACAACGATGAAACTATGATTTAAAGAAGAAGAAAACCTGTTCCTTACAATCAAAACAAACCTAAACTTCTATGCTTTATATACGTCGAATTAATACAAATATATGAATGTTTTAAGCAGTAAGGAGTGAATGAAGATAAAACACATTACTTCATAAAATACTGCATTAAATTATTCTTTGAGTGTGATTGATATAAGAAACGGTTATTTAGAAGGTGGGCAGTTTGCCAAAACTGCCAAACTTTTATAACAATTAATTTGGTTCCATATCGACTACGCTGGTTTCTTAGTTTGTAGAAGTCTTAATATAGTGATAACATTCAATACAAACTGATTTCTACACAAATCAATCTAAACCAAAATCAAGATATTAGTCAAGTCTTTGAAAATTTTGTATTCGGTATAGGTGGAAAATGCGCATCTTTTTTAGTACTCACTAAATTTTAAAGTTGTTGTTTATAAGAAAAGATTTATAATAGGTATAATATGGTTCATAAATAGGTATAATGAGCGGTAATTTAGTTGAAGGATTCATGAATATTAAAGTTCCATAACATATTTCATAGAGTTTGAAGAAGCTATAAAATGCTGCTTTTTGTATGAAATACTTTGTTTTTCGTTAAATGAAATTATGAATTATTCTTGAAGATAAATAATAAGAAACTTTTGCAAGATAAAGCCACGCACACGAGCTAAACGTTGTGTTTGTATAACAATTGGCTGTGGCTGCTATCAATCATCAGCACAACAACTTTCGGTGCCATATCGACAACCAATTTACCAGCAGTCTGAAACATCGTTATCATTATCATCATGCGTAAACAACTGTATGCAAAGTTGTATACGAAACCATTACAGTTTCTGTCAACAATCTTGCCAACAATCTTGGTAGATTTAACTTTTTTCAGAAAATTTTGAAACTTGAAATCTGACTATCGAAATCTGAAATTTATAAATTCCTTAAATTAATGCTAATCTTTTGGACTGTTAGCGTTCTATAGTTAATACTAAATTGATTCAACTACTAAACTATGCATTTTACTTCTAGTAGAGTGGGAACAACCTACCATTCCGATAGATACTCACCAGCGCCAAACCGATTGGAATCATCAATTCAAGAGTTATCTAATGGACAACAAAGTACTGGTGGTACATGTGTACACGTTTGTATGCCAACTTGCGATGTACAATGCGTTCAGCAAACTACAGCAATTCCAGTAGTAAGCCACAAACAGCCACAACGTAATCCCCCTATACCTGTAGTTCAAAGTCAGGTAATTCCCCTTTTTTTATAGCTTCAAAGAAAAATGTCAGCTGAAAAAGCAGTTTTCTTTAAAAATGTTCCATTTCAGACTCCTTCATACCAACCATCTGAACAGTATGAGCCCATATATTCAGTTCAGCCACTGTCAACTAATAATCATGAAATTTGTATTTATCTGTGCATGCCATCATGTGAGAATCGCTGTATTGAACGAACTACGGCAGTACCATCATTGTCAGAGCAAACAGATCAGCCTGATATCTATACAACTGCAAATCCTCATCAAAATATTAATAACACTCCAGATATACCTCCTTCATATCCGATCTCCGATAAATCTACTCATCAGTCATCAATTATTATTCGGCCCCAACATGGTGCCACAATTTGTGTGCCAATTTGTATGCCATCTTGTCATGCACAATGTACTGAAACTTTCGAACAAGGCGAAAAAGCAACTGAAATAATTAGTAGCACTGAAGAAGTATTAACGACAACAACTGCTGAACCTGAACTACCTCCATATGAAATTTCCATTACATTACCACAATCCATTCAGCAATCACCGGAGTGTTTCAATTTATGTCAGGAAACATGTATGCAACAGTGCATTGGACAAAGTATTTTTTTCCTTTCTAATTTAAATTACTACAAAGCGAAATCTATAGCAAAAACATATTTAATTATTCATGATACGATAGTAGCTCCAAGTTTATTCAATCAATAACCTGAAAATAATTCCTTGCAAGTATCGATTAAAGGATCACCCGTAGTAAAAAGTTCTATTAGCACTTTCTTGAAAGATCAAAAATTTTTGGCATAAACCTTTTTTTCTTTTGGTATATACATTTTTTTCCTTCAAAAAATAATAATGGCATATTTTTAATGAATAAACAATTGTTGACGTAACAGTCGTTCAGTCCATGCTTATTTCAGATCAACCTGCTGAACAGTGCAGACCATCTTGTTCTTACACTTGTCAGGAAAGTTGTGCTCAAGTACCAGTATCAAGCACTGCTTCTAGCAGCAACAAACAGCAGCAAGAATCGAACTTAGAACCTTATGAAACGATTTCCATTGCTCCAAGTACAGATCCATCTCCTGTACAAATTCCAGCTGAGAATGTCTACGAAACTCCTTTACGATCCCCACCTTATTATCAGCAATATACTTTTCCTGAACCACTGGTAACAGGATGCCTATCTACTTCAATGAAAACGAACCGATGTGTCTGTTCTCCTGGATATGCACTATGTTTTTCGATTTCAGGACACACATCTTTACAACATCAACAACACAAACAGTGCTGTCGGAGACGACGATAGTGATTAATAATTTGATCAAGATAAGTTCTTGATCAAAAAGAAAATATTTTACGCTATAAAACCAAAAACGATCTTCGCAAGAAGTTTTGAAATCTGTCATACTTCTGCTTAAAATTTTGCTTCTTACGTGCATTTATCATATTCTCCAGTTTATTTGCAATAACAACTGTTATTATAATTGTCAGTATAATCATGATACTCGCTGGTAATTTTTTTAAAAACATTCTGATTTTCAGTACTGCCTTCTGCCAATAAATAGTTATACTTTTTTTTACTCTGCTTAAATCTCTAGTTTCTGGAAAAAATTTTTTTTACAAATTTGAGAGGAAAACTAAATACGAAATCTATCAATATTTCTGAATACTCTCCATACAGCTTACCAACTTAATATAAAACATTGGATTTACACATTAAAAAAATGCACAGAAGACAAGGCATCAGACTGCAGTATAAAATTTGAATGGATGGTGCAAGAGATCGTATTCTATTATGGTCTTTGACAGATGAGTTAAAGTACAAATCTACAGACAAATGCACTTACTGTTGAATTTCCATTTAAAAATTGAATAAAACCAACAGCGATCCATGTCAATTTCTTATGTTCTTCCACGTAAAGAGCGCTGTCGTTGTGAAACAAATTAAAATACTTCATTTGCAATGAAAGCAAATTTTTTAGTCATGGAAATTGTTGCAACAGATGAAACGCTTAAAATATAATGAGAAGAATGCACGCTTGCATACAATAATGGTGATTAGAATAGACAAGCTTATAAAGAGATAAACTGCAGCTTGGTCACAGTGGAAGCGACTATTTGGTATTACAAGCAATCAAAATAAATCTAATTTAAATTTATTATCAGATTACTCATGCAAGCCACAGCAACAGTGAATTATAGTTATGGAGAATGATAAAATTAAATTAAAAATAATTTTGCTAATTTTGCTACAATTTTTTAATCATCATTGCTTATGCTTCCACTAATGTAAATAAGCTGATGTAACTTTCTTCATAAGCAAGCGAATAGCCATACGCCTGTTGAATATTTATTAGTTTTATTATAATTGTCAGTAAAACCATGCTACTCGTAGGTAATCTTTTTATAACATTCTGATTTTCAATTCTGCCTCTGCCAATAAATAGTTATGCCTTCTTTTTTTCTGGTAAAATCCCTCGTTTTTAGGAAAAAAATCTTCACAAATTACTACATTTTCCTCATCTCCATATCACAGGTGAGATGATTGCTTTGTGCAGTTAGAGCAAGTGGAAACAGTGCACAGTCATACTTACCTTGCTACATGCCGTAAAAGAAGCACTTACTCCTCTGTACTTGTAGGTGGAGGCATATTCAAAGAGATGAGATGCAGATTACCCGATGACTATGATTCCAGATAAACATTACCTGATGTAAGCACGGAAGTTTCTAGTTGCCGATAAAATGTTTTAAATGACTGGCAGCCTTTTCCTTCAGTTGCTTCCATTATACAACAATGTGTGCGGCGGTAGTGGTGTGGCGTTCGTTGTGTTTGGTCACATTACAGTTCTTAGTCTTCGCATTCAACGCTAGAAGGTTACTTTTTTACTTGCGAAGTTTTTTAGAGTAACTTGATTACAGCTGTATTGTTTTAATATTTGTTGCGAACGTAACTCGATCAGGTTTGTACTGGTTGAGATATGTTTCGTAGCTGCTAGCTCAGAGATAGCAGTTAATTGATGTTGCCCAAAATCAGATTAGTGGCCGCACTAATTTCGCCGATGATAGTGGCTTTATCTATTTTAAATTATCGAATGAAGGAGTCATTGGGTGGTTATGCGAGTTCCTTATTGCAAGGATCGCAGTGCGATATTTATGTGAGGTAGTAGTAGCGTAAGGGGTTGTCTGTGCGACATATTTTGAGCAGTTTTGGGACGTCAATGAAATTGCTATTTGAGTTAGTGATATTGAGCTTATATTGTGAATTTCATTTTTATTTGCTTGCTTTTTTGTCTTGTCATATTAATGATCACGATATTTTGTATCGCTGTTATTCGTGAGCTGTTGAGGCATATAATTCGCATCTAGTGTCACTTATAATAATTGCTTACTGATTTCGAATATGACCTTCAATTTCTTTGCCGATTCTTGCATTCGTATAGTTAGTTAGTGATGTTGAACTAGCTAACTGTACAAATGCAAGAATAGTATTATTCTTATAGTATTATTAGTATTATTTCTGTTGTAACGTACATTGATGCTGCATTATATTTGAACGTTACCGTCAGTTTGTTAGTTGGAGTTCGCTGCTTCAATTTTTATCATTTATTTTGATTGGTGAGGTATTCATTTTCACAGTACTGTTTCCAGTTGTTATCATTAGTGTACAGTATGATATATATTTTTGTAGCATTATCTTAAATCTTATCATTATCTCAGCTGTTTGTGTATATTATAATATTGCACTGCTTTCAAATTTACTGTTAGTTTGCTCATTGAGATATACCTTAGCACGTGTTATTTTCAAATGTTATATAAAATATCTACTTTTGTTTTATATTCACGAAGGTTATTATTCTTTTATTAATTATTGATTCTGGAGCTGGATCTCATTCTGGTATTCTCGCTGCACTCGCCCAGCGCTCAGTTCTGGTGTGCTGATATCCGTTGCTTCATCGTCGTCGAGTCTGCGGTGCTGATCGAATGAGATGCTTTCGAGCGTTTTCTTGAATACTATCGATTGGATATATGCCTCTACGGGATCAAGTATACTGATTTCCTTCGCGTAACGTTTATGGAACTTCGTCACTATCCTCAAGTCATCACATACAGAATTATTTTGGTCCTTCATTTCATCTCTGCCCCTTAGTTTATTAGCCATTAAATCGTACTTTCGTTTCTTCTCGGTCTCGACTGCTATCAACCTATCCTGACTAGTGATGTCAACCTCTACCATCGTAGGATCTCATTGTGCCTTCTAGTGTAGTCATGATATAACATTTTCTCGCACTGCGTTGCTAAATGGTCCACCGTCTTCATACGTTGCTTACAATGTTGGCACATACCTTTCTCAGCTTCAAACATATTTCTGTTTTGGAGGTTACAGTATCGCGCTTCATCCTGTGGGGTAGTATTTCCAAATCGTGGCCATTTTGATGAATGAACTATGGACGAGATTTTATTCGTCCGCACCTTGTATAGATTTGCTTTTCT